AATGCTGAATTGGGTGATTATGCTAAACACCCATCTTTCTCCCAAAACTCATCATCTAACAAAATTTTTAAATTTTTCTAATGCCCATAAAAATTAAGCATGGTGGGGTACAAGATACCTTTAAAATTTTATTAGGGGAAAATTTTCTGGATTCCACAAGGATGGCAAAGTGTAAAAAGGGGATTAAATCTTGGAAAATGCACCATTGGGGTCCAATCCATATACCCAGGGCCTCCACCATTTCCAAAGGGGCTTACAATTTAAGAAACCCTTTTTGTAACAGGTGTAAATATAGTGGTCCAAAAATTTAAAGGGACCTCAGATGGTGTTCCCCTGAAAGTGTATTTTGTTTGTTCCACCTTAAATGCTACTAGGGCATTTTATTTAGAATGGGACAGGCTGTCTGCAGAACAGTTTTTACAGCTGTTTTTGAAAATTGCAGCTAGGAGATCTTCCGGATTGAGATTTCGGATAAGCCCAAATTTTTTAGCAGGTGCCAAAATTTGATAGAATTAAAAAATAGAACGATGTCAACTCTTTTAAAACCCAAAGGGGTGTCCCCCGGGAAAATTATTCCCTAGAGCCCCTTACAGGGGGGCTTCGAAAGACTGAAGGCACAGTGAAAGGTGCTCCCTAAAGTACTACACCAGAAAGAATAATTTTGAAGAATTCCGTCATGTTAGTGGAGGGGGGAGAATCATAAATAATAGCCCTCTCGTCATGAGGGTACCCTGATGCGATTTTTTAAACCTTCTCACCTAATATTGGGAGGGAAAATTTGGGCGCCCCCTTTTAAAATAATCCGAAAAAGTGATGAAGATTTCAATGACGGCAGTGTTTTTGTAATAAAAATTTTAAAAGTTAAAAAAGCAATTGATCTTGGTCAAAAGTGTGGCATAAGGAATATCTTCTTACACTACGTGAACACTTTTATGGTTCGACAGAGGCAGTAAATCGACAGACCATTCAACCATGTGACATTGTGTTAATTGACATTGAACAACATCGAACATTGTGGCCTCTGGGCAAAGTATTGACATTGTACCCAGATGCACAAGGTGTTGTCAGGAATGTCAAAGTGTTGTGTCGTGGCCAGGAAAGTTTATGCACAATTAATAAATTGATTCCCTTGGAATTAGGTGTTCAATCAAACGTAAATGAAAATCTGAGGGAAAGTGACACGAGTGATATGGAAGATAACACAGACCAAGTGATGCCGGAAGATGAAATCGTAGTAAGATCTACTAGGAGAACAGCCACTCAAGCCAGAACTGGCTGGAATCGTCTCCTAAAGGAAGGAGTAATTTGAGTCGTTTAGCAACGAACTCCGCCCGGCCGCAGTGTGGAAAATACTGAGTATTTTCTGGAAATACGATAATTTATAGGTAAATAGATGCCCTATATTGTATTTAATTAAAGTGTATTTTTAAAAAGAGGAGTCGCCATTTTGGTTTGAATGAGCCAAGTAAATGTTAGTGTAATGGGAAGAGTTTTTCGTGCTCTAGAGGTTAAAATTGGGTTGACACCTCTCAAATAGGAGGCAAAATTGTTGGATGTGCAGTCCTGCATAACTTGAGATATCAGGCGACTGAACAAGACAGCTCCAGGAACCTCAGATAAGTCTGTTATGTTATAACTCTGGCCAGTTGTTATTTTCATGTATAGACAGTGAGGTTTTCTGAGTATGATATAACTTAATCTCCAGTCAAATTGGTGAGTGTTATGATTAAGATATATTCTCCTTCTGTTATATAAATGTGTGTATATACTATAATCCTTTTTTAATTTTAATATACAGTCCACAAATTTATATATTTACCAGCGTTCCTGGTGATGTATATTTCATTTAATTAATAGGTCCAGAGCAACTTGTGGATATGGCAGTGGTAGGTATCGAAGGGGGACATTTTTTGCGACCTAGGTGTCCCAAATTCCTACTTATCTAACTGATAAATAATAATTATCTATGTTCATTTACTGTTATGTATATAATGATACATCCAAGTAAATGTAATTTTCCACAATAACTGAGAGGGGTGAGAAGAACCTTCTTATACTTTTAAGAACATTGATATGGGATCCATGATCCTCACGCCAAGGTCAATATGACACCCTCAAGGCTGGTGTTTGGAAGGGTAAACAAAAAGAGAAATGGGAGATATTACAGTACACATGATAATGCATAAATCTTAATTCTAACAATATGTAATGTCACATTTAGTTACACCCTATACTGATAAGGATTTAGAATGTTTTTCATGGTACCAATGCAATATGTAGGTATCTCTGCAGTGAAAATGCTACCATAACAATAAGTTCATCGCCCAAGGGGACCAAAGATGACCAGGGTGTCAGTGAAAGTGCTCGTTAAGAGAACATTTAGTGCGGCAGGAATTCATCTGTGGTGCAGGAACTGTCGATGTCCAAGTACAAAAAGATCTACAATTTCCAGAAATAAGCGAATAAAAAAAATACAGCTTTGCTGTAGTTGTATTTTCATTTGTATATTAATAATTAGCTTTTGTTGAAAGACTTGTGTGATATGAGACATGAAGAGCTAATATTTCTGGATATTTATAACATCAAAGCAAATAATAATATTCCATTAACTCTATTTATGCTCGACTTAAACATAATAAACCCTGTATCACGTATCCCTCTGTGAAATATCTTCAGGTTTTACAAAGTCGGAGGAGCTGCAAAGTTGATTTGTAAAGTAATAACAAAGATGTAGATTAATAACGATTTTTAAACTTAAGGATAATATAGTACTGAAAAAATTTACATAAGCAGTACTTTGATCTATTTTCAATCAATTATCAAAAGAAAATTCGGAGAAAGTTCACCACAATATTATATTAAAAATCGATATATTCAGTAAAAGAGAGAAATAAAAAAGGGAATTAGAAAAGCAAAAAGAGATTATGAGGTTAAAGTTGCAAGAGAATCGAAGACTAACCCAAAAGAATTCTTTCAGGTATACAGAAGTAAGATCAGGGACAAGATAGGCCCACTCAAAAGTTCCTCGGGTCAGCTCACTGACAGTGATAAGGAAATGTGTAGAATTTTTAACACATACTTCCTCTCAGTTTTTACACAGGAGGATACCAGCGATATTCCAGAAATGATAAGTTATGTAGAACAGGACGATAATAAACTGTGCACGATTAGGGTCACAAGGGACATGGTCCTTAGGCAAATAGATAAATTAAAACCTAACAAATCCCCAGGCCCTGATGAACTGTATGCAAGGGTCCTAAAGGAATGTAAAGAGGAGCTTAGCAAACCTTTGGCTAATCTTTTCAACATATCACTACAAACTGGCATGGTGCCAGATAAGTGGAAAATGGCAAATGTGATACCTATTTTCAAAGCAGGTGACAGGTCCTTAGCTTCAAACTATAGACCAATAAGCCTAACCTCCATAGTGGGAAAATTTATGGAATCAATAATTACCGAGGCAGTTCGTAGCCACCTTGAAAAGCATAAATTAATCAACGAATCTCAGCATGATTTTACAAAGGGGCGTTCCTGCCTTACGAATTTATTAATTTTTTTCACTAAGGTATGGTAATGAATATGATATTGTGTATATGGACTTCAGTAAGGCTTTTGACAGGGTCCCACATCAGAGACTATTGAGGAAAATTAAAGCACATGGAAAAGGAGGAGAAATTTTTTCCTGGATAGAGGCATGGTTGACAAATAGGCAGCAGAGAGTTTGCATAAATGGGAAGAAATCAGAGTGGGGAAGCGTCACGAGCGGTGTTCCAGAGGGGTCAGTGTTGGGCCCCCTGCTGTTCACAATCTACATAAACGACATAGATGAGGGAATAAAGAGCGACATCAGCAAGTTTGCCGATGACACCAAAATAGGCCGTCGAATTCATTCTGACGAGGACATTAGAGCACTCCAGGAAGATTTGAATAGACTGATGCAGTGGTCGGAGAAGTGGCAGATTCAGTTTAATATAGACAAATGCAAAATTCTAAATGTTGGACAAGACAATAACCATGCCACATATAAATTAAATAATGTAGATCTTAATATTACGGATTGCGAAAAAGATTTAGGAGTTCTGGTTAGCAGTAATCTGAAACCAAGACAACAGTGCATAAGTGTTCGCAATAAAGCTAATAGAATCCTTGGCTTCATATCAAGAAGCATAAATAATAGGAGTCCTCAGGTTGTTCTTCAACTCTATACATCCTTGGTTAGGCCTCATTTAGATTATGCTGCACAGTTTTGGTCACCGTATTACAGAATGGATATAAATGCTCTGGAAAATGTACAAAGGAGGATGACAAAGTTGATCCCATGTATCAGAAACCTTCCCTATGAGGATAGACTAAGGGCCCTGAATCTGCACTCTCTAGAAAGACGTAGAATTAGGGGGGATATGATTGAGGTGTATAAATGGAAGACAGGAATAAATAAAGGGGATGTAAATAGTGTGCTGAAAATATCTAGCCTAGACAGGACCTGCAGCAATGGTTTTAAGTTGGAAAAATTCAGATTCAGGAAGGATATAGGAAAGTACTGGTTTGGTAATAGAGTTGTGGATGAGTGGAACAAACTCCCAAGTACAGTTATAGAGGCCAGAACGTTGTGTAGCTTTAAAAATAGGTTGGATAAATACATGAGTGGATGTGGGTGGGTGTGAGTTGGACCTGATAGCTTGTGCTACGAGGTCGGTTGCCGTGTTCCTCCCTTAAGTCAATGTGACCTGACCTGTCTAGGTTGGGTGCATTGGCTTAAGCCGGTAGGAGACTTGGACCTGCCTCGCATGGGCCAGTAGGCCTGCTGCAGTGTTCCTTCGTTCTTATGTTCTTCTTATGTTCAATATGGCTATGAACATCAGGGTTGTGTGACAGAGATAGAAAAACTATCGTATGCATGCGAGTCTTTCCTCCTCTTCTGTCATACTTTCTTTTGTCACAGACATAAGGTCAACCTTTGACACTAAAACCAATACATGTGGCCTAATATAAATCCTTACCTGTCTCCTCCTTCAGCATGCATACTCCAGGTTCCTGATTATCAGTGTTTGGCGGGTTACTACATATAAATTCTTCATCACACGAGCCAGCATGATTCCAGATGCCTCCACATGGTTTACCAAGGCCCTGTGAAATACAAGTGTAGTAATATTGTTCGTAAGTATTGTCAGAAAAAGTTTAATCGTACATATTTCTAGTGTGGATGTCTGTGGTAAGTCATTTGCCAGTATCTCGTTTGTTTGGGGAGGTATTTTTATGTCAGCACCTTCTTTCAGACATACCATTGTTACCCTCGTGCAGTCAGCTCACATGGAAGGTAAGGTGGTGTCAGACATACCATTGTTACCCTGGTGCAGTCAGCTCACATGGAAGGTAAGGTGGTGTCACACATACCATTGCTACCCTGGTGGCAGTCAGCTCACATGGAATGTAAGGTGGTGTCAGACATACCATTCCTACCCTGGTGGCAGTCAGCTCACATGGAAGGTAAGGTGGTGTCAGATATATCATTGCTACCCTGGTGGCAGTCAACTCACATGGAATGTAAGGTGGTGTCAGATATACCATTGCTACCCTGGTGGCAGTCAGCTCACATGGAAGGTAAGGTGGTGGCAGATATGCCATTGTTACCCTGGTGGCAGTCAGCTCACATGGAAGGTAAGGTGGTGTCAAACATACCATTGCTACCCTGGTGGCAGTCAGCTCACATAAAAGTCAGGGTGGTGTCAGATATTACTGTTTCTTTTTCTTTGATCTGTTGAAGGTGCTCTTCTCTGGGTAATTTTAATTGGTTTTAGTGTTCATTCTTTCTTAGTTATCTGTTACCTGTTTCGAATTTGCTCACCTCTGACTTTTAAAAATACTGCAAATTTTGTCACACCCATCTATCTCACGGTAGACCTTCAGCCTACCGTGTGATAGATTATTTTTGTCTCTGGTAATACCTACTATCTTATTTCAGCCCAGAGGAATTTTTTAGGTCACATCTTCAATGCAAAACAAAAGTAGCACTCTCACTGTAGAAAGACGCTTTTATCATCTACTGTTAAACTACTTCTCACCCATGTGAATCAGTCTTCGACATTAGTCTCATTGTTTTTGGGGACGTCGAGTATATCTATTATTCTATTCTATGTAGTCTCATTTGCCTACCATTCAAGAACAATAAAGAATATTGCTTACACCTGGTTGGGTAGAACTCGTTCTTTCTTCCGCCATTACCTTCATGTCTTGCTAACGTGCCTTGCTTACTCACCATTCAAGTTAGTCTTTTAGTGATGGTACGTGATTGCACCAGACACTTAGGTTTCGAACTCTGATTTCTTTCATCCAGTGCTTCAGTCCTCTGCCTCACTTCAGCTGCAGTTCCTCTGTTACTCAGTTGTGTGACATGTCAACGAGAGCATTATTGTCATTGCTGTCAACTGTTGCTCTGCTTAAAGATAAGCATCTGATCAACATCTGATGCTGAGGATGAAGATTCCGTATTTACCCCAACTTCTCTTAATTTTATTTTATTGATTATAAGGGGTCTCTCCTGGCGTATTGGGAATTCTAATTTATTATAAAAGGTAGAGGGCGGTTTTCAAGCAGGATCAGCACTACTGGCCTCACCGAGAGTGATCGTAGTCCAGGAGGAGGTATACAATTTCTTATTGTTTCTCCTTGAAGCTGCCGCTTATCCCACCTTTTTTATTAAAATTAAAAAAAAAAAAACACAATCATGAATAGTAATACTCATATTTTGCCTCCTCTTGAGCCCCTTACCTCTGCGGCATTCTTACGTGACTCCAGCACGAACATGGACGTTCCTTCGAAGCCGGAGTTGCCTGACTCAGATACCTGCATTCAAAGTAGATCATCGTTCTACTTTGACAATACTCCCGGCTTCTACGAAGCCATCGTTCAAATGACCGCGACCCATACTTGACGATCCTGACACTTTTATTGACACTCCTAATTCCTATCCTGAGAAATACTCTTCCTGGAAACCTCTTCTTTTACAAATCATATCTCAAAGAAAATCTTGGACGAATTTTTTTTCTCTTCGGCTGACGACACCTATTGATTAATTAACTGACCATGTCCTCAAGAGTGGGAGGCATGCTGTCACTAAAGGATGCTAAAAATCCTTCTTTTCAGGCCTGGTGGCCTGGTGGCTAAAGCTCCCGCTTCACACAAGGAGGGCCCGGGTTCGATTCCCGGCGGGTGGAAGCATTTCGACACGTTTCCTTACACCTGTTGTCCTGTTCACCTAGCAGCAAATAAGTACCTGGGTGTTAGTCGACTGGTGTGGGTCGCATCCTGGGGGACAAGATTAAGGACCCCAATGGAAATAAGTTAGACAGTCTTTGATGACGCACTGAATTTCTTGGGTTATCCTGGGTGGCTGACCCTCCGGGGTTAAAAATCCGTACGAAATCTTAACTCAGTCGATGAAACCCTTTTTAAAATATAGGCGTTCCTTCCTCAATTCTGGCTACAGTACTATCCTCATTCCCAACACTATAGTGCAACGAGAATTTATGAAATGCGGCATTGGCATTAAAGAGCAACTTGAGCTCCAGAATCTTCAAAACTCCTTTTCCCATTCTAATTACTTCGTCTTCTTCCATTTTCCATGTTTCTCCACCCACAGCCTTTCCCGGCTGGGCTTTCGGCTCTTCCTTCAGAGCCTTAGATCCAAAACCCCCAGTCACCAAAACTCCCCACTAACCTATTTTTCCTCCCCACTTAACTTTATCTACTACTGAGTCTTTCCCCTTGCTTCCTGTGTCTTTGAGAGTTGCAGAAATCCATTCACCACTTCATCCTGCCCAGCCTCCATATTCCCACATAGATTCCTTCATCTCAGGACACCATTCTCATTCTCTTCTCACTTTGGTAACTGACTTCCTCTCCACTTTGTTCCATCTATCTTTTCCACCTCTTGCGTCATGCTACCTGTTGCTTCCTTAATTTAGGAAACTACTGAAGCCGCAATGACTTTTATATGGGGACATAATTTTTAATAGACGTCCACCCACCTCCTTGTGCCTTCATATTCTCACCTTCAACAACTTTACATCCTCTCTCTCCCTACATCTTCCATCTATGGCTTCCGATAAATTGGATGTTTCTAATTTACTACTACCACCACCTCCACACATAAACTTTACTGGACATTATAGCCCAGAGCCACTACCTGTTTTGTTATGCCCTGACTTTGTATATATTGAAAGTGCACCTTAAAAACTACCCTATTCCTACTCGTCATTAATGGACTTGCTTCTCTTCTCCCTTCAAATATCTGGTTATCCATATATATGCATAATTTTACTCCAATATTCTATTAACTTATCTTTCAAATGAACCACCTCTGTTGTTAAAACAAATAGAACATGCCATTCTATACATGTATCATTGAACTATATAGTTATTTTTTTTTGTCTGACAGTTGAATGTCATGGAAGTCTCACATAACCTGCCTAAAAGTTGCTTGTGACAGTCAACCGATCCTACTTATGACTTTAGTTCATATTGCTTGGGGAGGTGATGGAAAACCATTCGCCTACATTAAACTTAAATATTTTCTGAACTAGACTTCGGAGACTAACACTATGCCTCAGTATTCCTGATATTCTTTATAATCTTATTCCATTTATCGGGGTTTCCACTTGTGTCTAGGGGCTTCGTGATCTTTCCCTTTCCAGAGCCTTTATTCGGAGTCAAACGTTCTGACCTTGTAAGACAGAAGCTTTGCCCATTATTTCTGTTGTTTTATCCGCTTCAATGACTTTCTCGAATCTTTCACGCATAGAACTCTCGGAGGTTATTAAGTAACTTATTTAATCACTGACTCCACTTAGTATCCCCCTTTAATCCCTGCGTTCACTCTCTAGTGACATCTCTTAATTACTCTCTCCCTTCGGTTCACCCTGTATCTTATTTCCCATAAGAATTAATGGAAATACAATTAATTTATTCCAAACAAAAATATTCACAAAAAAATAATTTTTTTAACAATTATGTATTACATACCTTTATTGAAGGCTAATGCTGGCTTCTGGAAGATAGGGAGGAGGAAAGAGGGAGGAGTTAGTGTTTAGAAAGGGAATATCCCCCTCCATAAAGACTTATAGGTAGCAAAGCCTTCTCTGGGGTTACTTTTATTGCCACTAGGACCAGCTTGAGAGGCACTGAACCCCTGTCTCACAATAACTGTCCAGAGTGCTCTGTTTCTGGCGTCTCTCTAAGATTTCCCTGAAGTGGGACAGGGTTTTGTCACTAATGTTGCAGATATGGCTTGTTTCAGCTTTGTCAGGGTGGTGTTTCTCTACAAAAGCTTGCACACTAGTCCACATTGCAAACACCTTTTTAATCTCTGAAGAAGGCACCTCCTTCACTCCCTCTTCCTCCTCTGAAGCAAGATCCTCATGGAACTGCTTTGCCTTCTCACAAATGATCGACTCCACAACACTGTCTCCCACTAATTATTTTTCTTAATTCACAATAATAATAACTTTTCCATCTCTTCCATTATTGGTGGCCTTTGTTTAGTTAGAAAAGTTACTCCTTTTGCATCATTAGTGTCTTTGATTTGTTCTTTCTTTGCCAGGATGGATGCAATTGTTGATTTATTCTTGCTGTACATCCTGGCAAGTTCCATCACCTTCATAACACTCTCAAACTTTTCTATAACTTCACACTTAAATTCCATGGTGTTTCTCACTTTCTTTACCACAGGAACTTTGCTAGGAACTTTCTTTGGAGCCATCTTTACTTATTTTACAGTTGTACTGCAAGAAAAACCACTAAAAACAATGGCAAACAAGCAAAATGTTTGGATGTATGAGCAAAGCTCCTCAGCCACCGAGAGACAAAGCCAAACTGAAGCGCAAGCTGCCCCAGCTGGCAGATGGGCGTATCCAGAACGGCCGATAACCGAGCAAACGGCCGATAACCGGGCGCCAAAAAACCTGCCGATAACCGAGTTGGCCGATAACCAAACTGGCCGATAACCGGGGGTCCCATTATCTATTTGCCATGAAACATATGTAACCAAACATCCTTGAGTCCATCAATAATTAGCTAGAATACCAGGTGGCTTATTGTCAATGTAAATGATGTGGCCCTGATCACACCGAAGAATAGCTACCAGTTGTAAATGCATAACTAGAGTGGGGAAAGGGCTCAAAGCAAGTTCACTATGTAATTAAAATTAGCAATGGTGACCAGTTCCTCGGTTGCTTTCAGCTAAGTAACATGTACTAGAGGTCTCTCCTCCGTAGTGCGTAGCTAGCGAGAACCATGCTTCTTCCTCCATCATTTGTTAAATTGCATATAATAGAGTATCAGCCAAAATCTCATGTAAGATTGTAAATATCATTGGTGATAGAAATATACGGGTATTCAATCAATAACTCCTGGTGTATGTTTTTATACATCAGTTGATTCCTTTATTAATTGTCTTCATGATTAAACAGCCCATACAACGGTGAGTGTATTCTTAATATTCAGTTTGTCGCATCTTAATACTGACCTAGAGAATGCAGAATTCGTTTCCAAAATTTCCAGTACTTTGATTGGAACCACCCTCATTGAGTCCTATGGGTTAGGTAATTTCCTAGAAATTTAATGATATTGCAGGTTAATATTACCGGTTATTTTGGAAATTCAATGACAAAATTCTTGCAGGAGTGCTACTTTTTTTTGGGAAGGGGGGATTTAAATGTTAGAGCAATCAAGAAACATAAGTTTAAGGTATAATACAACTAATGAACAGAATTTAGTGCATCGGATATTGCATACTAGTTTAACAAGAGATTAATGCTTCTCTTGTAAAGAAAAGAAAATGTTTATATGATAAAACAAACAAAATATTTAGGCCATGGACAATGTTCTGGACAATGAAACTTCTAGTTTTAAGGTAGGTAGTAGACTCGCCAGTATAATCACTCAGACTTGGCCTTTTCCAGGAGGTGGCCCGGCCTTGGCTTCCTGTCGTGGGAGTGTCCTCAGATCAATGTCTGCCATAGGAGGAGGTACAAGTACCTCCTTGTTGTCTTCTGGGACCAGCTGTCTTCAGGCCTAGCCCCATTCCCCACCTCCCACGGGGTTGGGGCTGCACAAACCCCGCCCACACTGAGCTTGAAGGGTGTGGCAGCTGCATAGCAGCAGACGATGTCAGGAGGTGCAAAGGCAGCAATCAATACAGGATCATTTTGGAGCCACATCCCAGCTTTGGGCATCAAGACTGAGTGCTGGGGAGGCTCAAGAATGCCTACAACTTCACTTGTCCGTTGCACTCTGTTCTAACCTTAAGATTCTAAAACATAGGATGGAAATATTTTGTAAATCAATATTAATATGGGCGACTCCAAATTATTCTCCCAATAATTGAATTTCGTATTTATTTATTTTTTTGGTATTAATTAGTTCAGGCTACGTGATGTTCTGTAGAAGAAAACAATGAGAAAGCAACTCTTACATTAAAATTTTCGACAGTTGCAAGGGATAAGAATGTCATTGTATGATGTAACTAAACATTCTGTACTTTTTATTTTGCACTCGGTTCAGCAAAATAATAAGCTTGTATATTCTTTATAAAAAAACATTCTTCAATGCACATACATTATTGGAAACTGGCTGCATATACTTTAAGATCTCGAACAAAGGTGAATGCTCTTTTAAACCTATTTTTGATTAAGTATTAGTGCATGTAAGACATATATCAGTGTACGAAAAATATTAATTTAAAGGTCTAATTATTTCAATGATATGAATCCAAAAATAGAATGATTCCTTCTATCTCACTTTCGATACTACATTTCATAGAGCGGACACGAATTAAAGTTAACTAGATAATCATTATGTATCTCAGTTCATTGCCAGATTCAGAGTAAACATACAAATACACTCCGGATTCTCTTCGCTTCTTTTATGAGTTTTTCCAGCTTTTTTTTTTCATATTTGAATGCGAACTCTTGTTATGAGCCAGCGGTGTTTGGATCTACAGAGATAAAATTAAAATTATGAACATAGTTTCCAGTATTTTCTGACCATTTGGATCTTGAAGCTAGCAGCTGTATCTCCACAGTGTTGGAGATAGGTGCTAGTTAGTGTAGATTCACAAGGGAGGTTGCACACCATCTGCTGGCTGTCTTCACAACATGACGACTCCTTTATTGTTTGATAAATTAGACACATGTGCAACTCTTGGGTATCTTTATTGAGGAAACGTTTCGCCACACAGTGGCTTCATCAGTCCATACAAAGGAGAATCTTGAAGAACAGGAGGAGAATGAGGTAATCAGTCCCTCAACTTCTTGGGATCTTAATACTTGGGAATTCTTCGCTTGCCTAATTCTTGGGTACGACCTACTTCAACATTGAACAAATGTTACCCGACCTATGACTGCTGCACCTCTCCTGCCAACGGTTTATAAGCTCCTTCTCAGCACGTATGCCGTATTCTATTCAAGATTGATGGACTGACCACATCGACTCAAGGTTGAGGGACTGATTACCTCATTCTCCTCCTGTTCTTCAAGATTCTCCTTTGTATGGACTGATGAAGCCACTGTGTAGCGAAACGTTTCCTCAATAAAGATACCCAAGAGTTGCACATGTGTCTAATTTATCAACATGTCGGTTCTCTGAACCATTCATCTACAAACCTTTATTGTTTGTTAGATTTTGCAGAGATGCTGTTACGATAGTGGTGAGAAGCGAGCTGTGACAAGGCTGCTCTTTATATTATTAACGCTTCATGTTTTTATATTTTCCCTCTGATGTACGCCGAAAAAGACCATATATTCCTTTGACTAGATGGTTAGAACTAAGACCATAATTTTAAAGGGGTGGACCGGTAAGCCAGCGGAAGACCTCGGTCAGATGACCAAAAGTTCCATCGACGGGTCATCATCTGACTACGACCCGCGTCAGGAAACACTTGTCTTCTTCTCCGACAAAGCTTACCTAACTTAACAATGTTTTCCGAAATCGTCTGCGATGATCTGCCGGTTAGTATAGCAGTGGCAAGGTAAACAATGATTACAACACTGAGCTGCCAGCAGGAGCACCGTGTGTATATAAGAAGTAAACTGTGAAGAAGATAACAGAGCTATCTATCTACATTGACAGCATTGTCTTCTGTAAAACATTCTTCAGTATAGATGAGACTATTCTCTTTTGCTAAGAGGCTATCCTAGCATACAAATAAAACCAGCAGTTATTTTTCTGCATTTTAAGAGTAAGATTAATTGTAAATAACTCATAACTTACTTTGGTGCATTTTGGACAGCAGCCACACATGTCGGTGCCTATGCCATTGGGACACGTCATCTCTGGACATTCATTATGATTACAGGGTGGACAGGAATGTCCCGCGCTCCTAAGGTGAGATAAACAGTAATATTATGCACAAAAACATCTACAGTCTCTAGATTTGAATCATACTTGGAGGTATTAAATATATCTGGTATAGCTCACAACATCCCTACAGAAATGTATTGCCAACTACTTAATTTATTTCAAAGTATTAAATAAAATTTTTACCTACTAAACTAAATAGTATCACATTATCTCACTATTTTTGTAATAATTGGCTCTAGCTCTGTGAACCTCCTTGGCTCTAGCTCTGTGAACCTCCTTGGCTCTAGCTCTGTGAACCTCCTTGGCTCTAGCTCTGTGAACCTCCTTGGCTCTAGCTCTGTGAACCTCCTTGGCTCTAGCTCTGTGAACCTCCTTGGCTCTAGCTCTGTGAACCTCCTTGGCTCTAGCTCTGTGAACCTCCTTGGCTCTAGCTCTGTGAACCTCCTTGGCTCTAGCTCTGTGAACCTCCTTGGCTCTAGCTCTGTGAACCTCCTTGGCTCTAGCTCTGTGAACCTCCTTGGCTCTAGCTCTGTGAACCTCATTGGCTCTTCTAGCTCTGTGAACCTCCTTGGCTCTTCTAGCTCTGTGAACCTCCTTGGGTCTAGCTCTGTGAACCTCCTTGGTTCTAGCTCTGTGAACCTCCTTGGTTCTAGCTCTGTGAACCTCCTTGGTTCTAGCTCTGTGAACCTCCTTGGCTCTAGCTCTGTGAACCTCCTTGGCTCTAGCTCTGTGAACCTCCTTGGCTCTACCTCTGTGAACCTCCTTGGCTCTTCTAGCTCTGTGAACCTCCTTGGCTCTAGCTCTGTGAACCTCCTTGGCTCTAGCTCTGTGAACCTCCTTGGCTCTAGCTCTGTGAACCTCATTGACTCTAGCTCTGTGAACCTCTTGTATGAAAGGGTGACCTCATAAAAAAGATTTTCGCAAGTAAATTATTTTTAAATGTCACGAATAAGGCATCTGAAGGAGCAGTCAGACTTTTATATTTGCAGATTACTGTTTACATGTTGTAGACAAAGTTTACTCGTAAATATGATGCATTTAACTATGTTATACAATAATGATATAAAGTAAGATCGACAGACACCATTAGCATACAATGATGTATATTAAAATTAAATAATAAACCAGAGAAAATAAATTTAATATATACAATCTGTGCATCCACAATAACTTGACATCACAGTTCTTACAAAGGTTGTGGAGAAATTTTCTCCAGGAGGGGGGTATCAGCCCCCTTCAGCCCCCTTCAGCCCCTTTCAGCCCTGAGGGGCCCAGCCCTCTCAGAAGGGGCAAGCATCTTGTTTACTGCTACAGTGAGTAATTGACCCCAGATGCAGTACGAGTATGTGACGTGGTCACGCGGCCGTGGATCCTTGTAAGAATCCGATGTTGCAAATAGTTTAGTTTAATAAGAGACAGTCCATCTCTTACCTTAGCAGGACAATTAAGAAAATCCTGCTCCCATTTTATTACCATGGTAAAGATAGTGTACATTGTTGTCTATGCTTAAGATAGCAAGAATCAAGCATTCTGCTTTGCTTCATAGTGGAAGTTTGGCAAGGAGAGGAAAAATACTAGGTCAGCTTTTCCTTTATGCTGGGGACAAGCGAGGCGCAGGGAGATGCTGTGAGGGCAGATTACTTTTGATCCTACTGGGACTCACATTGACACCGTAATAACCAACAAAGAACACTGATCCATGCATTAGTGTGAATGAAGTATCTCACAAAACACAATAATCAGCTTCTTTAGTAAACAGAGTGTGAATAAATGAACAAATCTTGATGAATAGTGTAACGAGTGTTGCAATCCAACAGAGTGTAGTGTGACATTCTTCAAAGAACAATATTCTTCATCGGATATCCGGGTCAGATACACATACCCAGGTAAGTGTACTAAGATGTAATCAAGTTTTAATGACTGTGCAAATGAGAACAACATTACGATCTAGTAACTTATCATAAACCTGGGTGAAGAGGGGACCTTGAGTCCACACAAGTAAGTTTTCCAGTCAGCAATCAGTTAATGAAATATGCTGGCATAATACCCCCAAGGGGTAATTTATTTCTAATATATTTCCTTTACAGCCTGTTGAGAAGTAGCTATGACAGCTTCTCAAGACCTTGCCTGCAGGGGTGGCTGTGTAGGCAAAAGCTGTCTATCAATCCAAGTTCCCCCTATATTTAATCTTTAACCATAGTTGTACCATTTCTCAACAATTTGGTCCTTCGAACTGGATAAGGCCACATTATTTTCCAAGTATGTTGTACTACAGTGTACAAATAACTATACATTTATAGTGTATAGGGAATGAAGTGTATAACGTTGTTATTTACCGTGACTCAACGTTATCAAACTGACACTGCAAACTCAGGACATAAACAACCAGAGGCATCATCCAGCCATATGTACCCTGTACCCTTCATGGTCATTGACCCTGAGGTTAAGCTTAGTGGGTCAATAGTGTTTGAGTCGATTATTGCTGACTTGAGCATAACAAAAAACTCAGCTGTTTATAGCAGTACAGTGTTTTTTAAACACTCTAAGTGTGGTGCTAGAATTTTCAGTATCACATTAAAATGGCTTGTTTGAAAACTCAGTTTCAGTCTTTACAGACTAAGATTACACAATTAGAAAATCTAATTTCAGTCTGTATAGGATTAACTCAAGATACAAACATAGATTTTGACGATCTTGAGGCAAAATTGGAATTACTTACACAATGTCTTGCAATAATTAATTCAGACTACAAAATATGAAGGTAAGTTTCTAGAATCAGATCCATCTGAGGATGAAATTAAAAATGTTTTGGATGCTTTTAGTAATCAACAATTAAGGTGGACAGGAGTACAGGCTACTTTCTACAAAACTCTGTCACAGAGACCTACTGTAATTAGTGGTCAAACACCTGTTACACCTGCAACAACTGGAACAACAAGTGTCCCATTACCAAGCTTGCCTACCTTGTCATTACTTATTTTCCAAAGTCATAATTATGAAGAATTCATTAGTAGTTTTCAATCCAAAGTAAATTCACGAACTGACATAGATGAGATTGCTAAGTTCGATTACCTTAAATGTCTTGTGAAGGGAGAACCCTATGAACTGATTAAGTCATTTCCGGTGGTTAAAGGCAATTATCAAATAGCCTTACGTGTCTTAGCAGACAATTACTTTGATGCTAACAAGGCCAGAGTTAGACATGCAGTCTTAATATCAAGCTTGAAGCCACCCAAACATTGTTTTTCAGATTTACAGGCATTTAGGATCACATTAGACAATAGTCTGAGATCTCTAGGTGCTAAATATGACCTAAGGGAATGTGATTGATTTATCAGTGGTATTGTACAGGATAAGCTGTCACCATAGACTATTGAACGATTAAATATTATGTTCAAAAAAGCTATTTCACTTGTGAAGAAATCAGCAATGGTTTACAAGCAATAGTTTCATGCATGCAAGCAACGAGACAAGATGAAACATCCACAAATCCTGTGGATAACAAACCTTCAACTTAGTATAAAAAGAGTATAACTACTCCCACTAAACCACATAATTGGAAAAATCATATAGGCACTTATCAAGCTGTGAATACAACAGACAGTAAACAGACTGTCACACATAAACGTACTCCAAAATGTGTACTTTGTAATGGAACACACTGGGCACAGTATTGTAGTCAATACACATCAATGGAGGCACGTAAACAACGTGTTCATCAGCTGAAAAGGTGCATCAAATGTTTAGGTGAACACAAGGGAGGAAAATGCTCACTGAAGAAGTGTTTTAAATGCAAGGGTATGCATCATACAGCATTATGCCCAAATACTTTTGCTGAACAACAGAAGACTTCCACAGAATCAGGAAGTCAGCAAGCAACAACATTAAATGTGAGAGATAAGTTTAAAGTGACTGCTCTCCCGACAGCTCGAGTTGAGTTATCTAATAAATTACACAAAACCAATGTGCTAACACTATTTGATCAAGGCTCACAAAGGTCCTTCATAAGAAGAACAGTGTTGCAGAAACTGAATAAACAACCCTATGCCAAAATACAGTTAGATATAGCTGGTTTTTTCCACAATTCTGGTAAACAGACATATGACCTAGCCAGAATCACTGTTGGTCTAGGAAACAGGAAAAAGACAGTAGAAGCTGTGGTAGTAAATGATTTGCCTAAGTCTGTGCAGATCCAGGGATTAAAAGAAACAGTTGCAGCACTGAAAGTAGCTAAGGTCAAGTTAGCCTGTCCTGACATACAGACGGACACTACTTGTCCAATTGATTTAATCATTGGAAGTGATTATTATCACTGTTTAGTGCAAAATATAGTAAGTAAACATAATGTTCACTTGCTGAAAACAGCAGGAGGCCACATGATATGTGGTCCCATTCCCTCTCAAAGTGGGAAAGAAGCTGATATTGATTCAGTGGAAAATGTACTAGTTACGAGAATAACCGCTGATCATGTACCACAGCAAAAAATATCGTTACTGGAAGAAATGAATGAACCAGTTGATAAGTTGTGCGATTTAGATGCGATAGGTATTGATATAAATAAACCAGGCCCACAAGAGTCTCAGACTTATAACCAATATTTGGACACTGTCAGATATGAAGAAGGACAGTATTGGGTTAGGTTACCATCGAAGTTAAATCCACCATATCTGCCTAACAATTATCGCATGACTTTCGAACAAATGAAAGCACAAATACATGAGCTCAGGAAGAATCCAGAGCTACTGTCTATGATAATATCATACAAGAACAGTTAGACAATTAATTCATTGAGGAAGTAGTCGAAGAAAAGTTGAAGACAGAAGCTCATTATCTCCCGCACCATGGGGTCAGAAAAGATTCTGAAACCACTCCACTACGTGTTGTATACAATTGCAGCGCGCGTGCTAATGAAGATGTAGCAAGTCTTAATGACTGTCTGATGACCGAACCCTCACTAACTGAGAAGCTTGGAGACGTGCTTATGAAAGTTGGCACAAACCCATATGCCTACACGGCTGA